GTCGCCACTTTCTCGTAGGTTTTACGTCCTAATTGTCGCTTGGCCTGGAGGAATAAATAATGTAAAAAATAAACCAAAAAACCCAAGAATAAAATGCAAATTTTCAACTTAGTTAATTGTGTTTGAAGAAAAACATTAAAAGTTGTCTCACATAAGTGCTACAGGAGGAACGCAGCATGTTGAATGTGGGGGCAGTCCCCAAACTCATCCCTTCCCAGGCCTCTTTGAAAAATTCAGTCAACTTCTGAACGACACTTCCGTTGGAATTATGGAAAAAGGTCGATGCCTCTGAGCCTCCTTGAATTTTTTCACGAATTTTGTTGTAACGCCGCAACCAGGCATACTCTTTCTGATGGAGGGGTACGGCTGCTTGCCCATGGTACCTTTTAGTCTTGTGCTGTCCAACCTATTTAATGAAGAGACATAGCTTTTCTCTCTGACCAACTGAATACACAATGTGTATACCTCTTGGGCCGCTTTGATTTTTATTACCATGTTTGTACTTACACGGATGATGCGGGCACCGTTCTTAGTTTGTTCTGCCGTCTCAACCTCCTCAACAGTCATGTTGATGACGACACCCTTTCGGTGGCCAGTTATCGCAATAATAAATCCACCCAGCAGTCCAAAAAACAATTTTAGTTTTTTTCCGTGCTCTGGTTGCTTCTCAATGTCACCTGTAAAAGCAGAGGAAGAACACTGTATGCATTTACTTGCAAAGGTAATGTTCTTTAGCTAAAGACCACACGGGGACCACACACATACCATGACAGATGACAGACGCACCACACAAGGGCCACAACAACCACAATTCTGGAAGACATCCAAATCACCAGACCAACCCATACAAACAACCAAGTTTTTACATGTAAGTCCCTGTGATGTAAAAATCTGCAGGGTTCCATCTTAACCCAGAGCTGTGCATGTAAACCTGAAATGGTAATGTGTTTTAGCTCTGTTATCACAGACATTACTTTACCAAGCACCACAGAATTCCATAAAAATTGGAAGACATCCTAGTCATCAGACCAACACATACTTAAAAACCCAGTTTCTACTTGTAGATCCCTCTAATGTAAAAATTTGCATGGCTATATCTTAACCCAGAGCTTGAATCTGTATAATACCTCAAAAGTAAAATTCACATTCTATTTACAGATCAAATAATTGCAGTGAGCAGTGATTCATACCCAGTGCAGCAGCAATCTTCTGGGGAGCCTCTTCTATGAACAAAGCATGTTTATTTGCTTTGACAAGTCGATCTGAAAACAATTTTAAATACAGTTCATTATACACTTTACCTACTTTTAATGATGTCATGTTAATAAATGGAGGTGGAGGTCTGCATCTTAAACTTACCAGACTTAGACCGGCGCACACTGAGCTGGTGCCCAACTACATCCCGGCTAATATCTCTGACACGTGCCCTCAGTTCAACCAAGACAGCATTGATCCTTTTATTTCCAAGTCTGACTTGTGGTGGTGACATGTTCAAAAGATATTTCAGGAAAGCCACAGCATCTGTCAAATAACCTCTCTGGGTTGTTGGTTTAAACCCTTTTGCTTGCAGATGTGCTACAAAACTTCAAAGCCAAGAATATAAATTAGGTTACATTCTCATATAGTATATATAAAATAGACATTGTTAATCCTTAAAATTTAGTACTTACTCACGGACTCTGCCATGGTTAGTTAGGAATAGAAGGTCAACATTGGGAATTGCTGAGTTTGCCATGTATTCCAGAAACTGGATCACATGAGTGGCTCGCTGCTTTGCATTTTCACGTGTTTTCCTGCCTGGGTTTGCGCCTTCTACATGGCCCCTAAACTCTTCAACCAGTTTTACTGAGGAGACAAGATAAAAAATCAAATTAAATATGTTTGCATAGCCTACATTCTTAAATCCTTTGCCTCAGAGGGCTTTACAGCCCTGGGAAGACATCTCATGGAAAGCAACAGAGTAGGGATCCCGCTCCCAGGATGGACATGCATGCATAATAAAAGATTCTCTCCATTTGATAAGTTCAATACTAGTAATTTTGAAAGGAGTGTGATATTTACCATAACAAGGGGCATTGCTGGGTGAAAAAGGTTTACGTCGACTGTATTTAACCTAAAATAGAAAGCAGATTTGTTCATCTAAAGTAACTCACAAAATTTTTCATACTGACGTACTCCATCAGAGGACTAACACAATACTCACGTTTGCACGCTTTGTTGAAGAATGTAGCTGCTTCAGCTCATGATTCCTTTCAATTTCACACTCAAGCAGCTGCTTCACCACCTTTAGTTCAGTAAACAGAACCTGGCACCTCTTGCAGCCAGGCGCAGGTGTCCTCTGGATAGGGCGTCCTCTGTGTCGCATACCCGAGTGGTGAGATGTTCTGGCTGGGGTTGAAAAATCAGGAGATACCACTGTTGTGTCACAGGGAGCCTCGCTGGCAGAAGGAGAAGGATGTCGGGTACCTGGGGTGGTGTGGTCAAAGGGAGTCTCGCTGGCAGAGGGAGAACCACACACAGAAGTCACAGTGGCAGCGGAGACTGCAGGGGAAGTAACTTTTGACCTTGCCTCCATCATCCTCCTGATGCCCTCTTCAATTGCTGCATCATCCACTTCATCAAGTTGTGAGACCAATGCTGGTGTGGGATTTGAAGCCCTTAGAAGTGCCAGTTCCTTTGCAATGTGTCTATCCTTGGCCCTTTGCATGTAATGTTTAATCATAGGTTTCTGTAAAAGTAGAAGATTGTTTTTTTGAAGTTAAACATTTTAGTCTGTCTAAATTTGTTTGAGTATTATCAAAATTTTATTTACTTTCAAAAGCATGCATATTTTTAACTTTGCATACAACATGCTGTCTGGAGGACAAGCACCACTAAATACAGCATTTCTTACCACACAATGACTACACAAAGAACACATACAGACCAAACATGCACCATAGACCAAGAAAGACAGTGAGCACCTCAGTATTCTTCTATAGAAATTGAAAGACATTCAAGTTGTAAGACTAACACATAACTAAAATCCCAGGTTCTATATGTACGAACCTGCAAAATCCTGCAGGGCCAAATCTTATTCCAGATTTGTACACATGAATCTGTAATCGTGGTGTGCTTTAGATCTAGAGCTAGCTCACCAACACACAAAAAACCACACAGGAATCACACAAATTCAAATACATGCCTGAAGGTGGTGGACCTTTTGCAGGTGCTTGTCAAGTCGGTTTATGTATTTAGACTGGCATAAGCGGACCGGACAGTCCAGATTTGCAGAAAAGCTGTAGAAATAAAAACAGTCAAAAAATGTTGCACAGCTAAAAGTAAAAGACATTCGGTGTATAAAAGGTGTAGCAATTAAATAAAATAGAGTAATTAGAAAAATGTGTAGGGTCGGGAAATAGAAATATTTACTTAGTCTCCTCAAGAGATAAACAAGACACTTACTGTCGATGAGAAAATTGGCTCAAAAGAGTCAATTCGGTTTTATTTATAACTTTTTCAGTGACTCTTAGGTGCTGGACTATATCAGCATATATTTCGCCACAAATGGGACACTTATGTCCATTTCTGACATTGCGCTGCCTTCGAGACTTGGAGACAGCAGCAGCCTGCTGCTGTGCTTCTGCTCTCTGTGGCTCCTCACTGTCCACAAACACCACCTGTACATGTAAACAAAATAATAATTTGTTCACAGAAGCACAATAGTACAGATTTTTTTAAATAGTGAATCAAAATTAGGCAAATTTCATTTTTTGTCTCTGTGTGACATAACATGTAAAGCATTTTCTAATCCACATGGAAAAAATAAGCCGATGGAAAAAAAAAATTATAAAGTTAGTCGGTGACTGTTAGCAGGGACACTAATGGATATTAAAACGCATTAAATAACTGTTAATAGGTGTTAATCTGTTAATTACAATTTTGCTAAAGGCAGAGTAACCGCGTGCGCGCGCACGCACGTGTGCGCGCACGTGCAGTCGCGCGCGCACGTGCACTCGCTATAGCCCTACCTGGTATGTACCAGGTATGAACTCATAATTATAAATGGTAAGTTTTCATACCTGAGACCTGGTGCCTCCAACTTCTCCGTCCATCATACCGGTCAACACTGAAATCTCCCCCACCCTCTCCTCCCCTCTCTATCACGTGAACTAGTTGTGACAAGTGTCTTCTGATTGGCTGTGACAACTGCTCATTAAGCAGCTGCTTTCGCGGTCTTTTCTTCACCCTTGATCAAACTTAAATGAGACTGGCAGCTAAACTCCAGGTAAGCGTTAAGTTCAGGGTTATATTCCAATTTTTTTACTGTTACGTTTCTGCTTAAGTGCTATTTAGTGCATTATTTTAGCCCACTTTTTTGTTTTTGTCCTGCTACAGCGCTGTTTTATTGCAAAGTTTTGGCCACTTTTTCCTGTTTCCTTTTTTGCTGACCTGCTGTTGTAGTGTGAAATTGTAGCCCAATTTTTTTCATTTTCGATATTGCTAAAGTGTTTATTTTGAAATTTCTGAACTAGAGTTGTATGAGGTAGAGTTGAAAGTTGTGCATATGAAGCTATCCACTGTTTATGTAATGAAAAGTGAACATCCACTTTTACTGTAAAAGACCCTCTACTGTAAATACTCAAACAAAAATGAATCTGGCAAAGGGGGCCACTGCAGAAAAAAGTTTGGGAAAGACTGTGAACCCACAGTGTTTCCAACGTGGTTAAACAGAGTTCATTTTTTTAATACTCTGTTAAGCACTATACCCGAACCCACCACTGTTGGGCTTCAAGTTCAGTATCTGAATATAAGTCTGAAAAAAGACCACCTTCTGCGTCTAATCTCCTAATGCTTTTATTTTACAGTTTAACCCAGACAGTGAGCCTGAAGCTGCAACCCCTCCCCAATAATCCAAGTACATCAGTATCATGTTTGTTCAACGCCAATGCCATCTGCCACCAATCACCTTGAAGTCAAGATATTTAATCACAAAGTTTGGGCTCTGGCTTTTTCTTATCATGGGAATATTTAGACCTCTCACCATAGGACCAGCTTGTGCTCTAGAAATAACCTCACACATCAAGTACTACTATGTGGCTAGAGACTCAAGTGTTACCCTTAATTGTGAGTTCGTCCTTGATTCTGAGAACGTGGAACATACAGAAATAGAGTGGAAAATTCTGGCTGAAAACAGAGACCAAGATGACAATACCATTATCTGGTACACTGCAGCCATGATATATAACAATTTATACGGTCCTTTAAAGCATAGGGTCTACTTCACATCTCCTGAGCCCCAAAATGGCATCGCTTCATTAACAATCAGTGACCTGAAGCTTACAGATTCAGGCACTTACCAGTGTATGGTGAAAAAGCTACCTGAAATCGCGATCAAAAACTTTATCCTGTCAGTAATGGAGAGGCCAAGTATGCCAGTATGTTACATGGACGTAGAAGCTGTGGCAGGGGAAGATCTGAGGCTGAGATGCAGATCGTCACAGGGTACTCCACCTGTGGATTACAGATGGTCAAAGACAAGTGGAAACCAGAAGTTGCCTCATACTGCTTTTGCTGACACAATAGAAGGAGACCTGTATTTAGATAAGATCACAGAGAGCGACACTGGAACCTACCTCTGTACAGTTCTAAATCTTGTTGGAATAGAAGAGTGTGAGCTTGAACTCAGTTTCCCACCACCACTGACCATGTACTATGTATATGTAACTATAGCATCAGCCATTTTCGGTGTGGTTTTGGTCATCAACATCATCATCATCATCGCAGTCATTTGCTACCGCCGCAGAAAAGAGACTGAAGAGGAATTTAGCAGTGAAATATTGGTGGATGAACTCCCTCCTTACACATGGCGTACAAGAGAGAGTGACACTTTAGGGTCTTGGTCTTACATAAGTCCCCAGGGCAGTGTACAGGTGAGGAAATGTTGCACAAAATAATTTTTCACATGCAAGAGTATGTTGGCTAGTTCACTAGCTTATTATTAAATACACATATAGCACCAATTCATAATTGAAGTTATCTCATTGCATTTCACATGGTAAACTTAAGGAGTTAAAATGATCGAATAATTTTGTTCCAAAAGACACATACGGTCACGTATGAGAACATGGACTCAAGTCTAAGGACAAAGTGTACGGACAAAGACGCTGTGTATGAGGTCGTAGAGCAGCAAGACCTTGTGAGTAACAGTCAAATATGTATGCAAAATACATTGAGTGCATGTCTTTGTCTCATGATGTCTCTGATGCTGTTAAGGACACCCAACTGTAAAAAACTGTAAATTCTTCAGTCCTATGGTCCTTTAAGACCACAACTAGTGATTTAGTATACAATTCATAGTGTTGTAGCCTGAACCCTTTGAATGTACTGATGGTGAAAACTGAAAAACCCCATTACTTAAATTAGAAAAATGTCACGATTTCTATTTGGGATCTGTGTGTTTCACAGAAAGAAAATCCAGAGGCGTATGAACCCATGGAGCCTGGTGTGACTCCTCGTGGGGAAGCAAATGTGAGTATTAGTAGGAATGCTTTATCGCTGTGCACAAAAATTACATTTAAACTTAAATCCAATTTCAATATATGTCCCTTAAATTAAAAATGTGTCAAGATTTGTCCTTACAAGCAGCAAGACTTCGTGAGTAACAGTCAAATATGTGTGCAAATACATTGAGTGCATGTCTCTGTCTCATGATTTATCCAATGCTGTTAAGGAAACACAACTGTAAACAACTGTAAACTCTTCAGTCTTATGGTCCCTCAGAACCACAACCAGTGATTTAGTATACAGTTCATAGTGTGGTAGCCTGATCCCCTTGAATGTACTGATGGTGAAAACTTGAACCATTTTGGCATTTTCAGTAAGAGTAAAAACCCCATTTCTATTTATGATCCTCTTGAATTAGAGAAATGTCATGATTTATCTTTGGAATCTGTGTGTTTCACAGAAAGAAAATCCAGAGGCGTATGAACCCATTGAGCATGGCGTGACTCCTCCTGTGGAAGCAAAGGTGAGTATTAGTAAAAATGCTTTGTGCCGTTCACACGAATTACAGGTAAATTTACCCAATTTCAGTCTATTGCCCTTGAACTAAAAATTTATCATGATTTGTCCTTACAAGGTGTTCCGTCCACGGACAAGTAAGTCGATTGAATTGATGAAACACGGTCCCAAGGCCTGTGGTGAAGGAAAGGTGAGTGGTAGTAAAATGGTTTTAATGTTTTGTACAAGAATTACAGCTATGCATTAACTCCCACACAACTACACCATATAAATTATAATTATGCAAAAATTGTGGTTTCATGT